CGAATCCCCCACGATCCTTTTTGGTACCAGTTGAAGGAGTCGTCGCGGCTTCCAGATAAATTTCCCGCTGCTGATTTTGCACGTTCCACTCACGTTGTTCGCCTGCCTAGCCGCCGGGAAACGGGCAGATATTGCTGGTATTGGGAACACCTTAGAGTGTACCACTCCCGCGCAGCAGACGATTTTGGAAAAGTTTTTGAGATCGTAGGCACGCTATGGGGAACAGTCGTACCGACGCAAACCATTTTTTAGAAGGTTGGGTATTAGGCTGACATCATCATTCCACTTATCCCACAGATGCAAACTGTTTGACCAGATGGCGACCGATTTTTGCAATCACTGTCGATAACTGTGTTTACGGTGATGACGTAAAAACAAAAGAAGTTTCACTCTCTGGTTACAGCAGTGAAGGGTCAGTCCAAAGTAAGGGCAAGCAAATCCCAGATGGAACCACGGACAGGCAACCAAGTCTTCCATGGCCGTTCACAGCTGGTCGTTTAGTACCAGCGTTGCTTTAGGAGCTGATATAGACCCTGACTACAGTGCGGAGGCAAGTGGCACACCTTACCATCACATCTGGAAGTCAGAACTCAGAAGAGCGCCCATACAGGTTACACATCTCGCTGGAGTGCGGCCATACTTCTCCAGGAGGAGAACAACCCTGACTTCATACATCTTAGATCATACAATGACTCTCTCGGAGAGTTTGTTCTGACTCTCTCGTGTCATTGTATGATCCCAGTTTTTCTCAGCGAACCACTTCGATCTTTATAGGTGTAGAATCGTGGTGCATCCTCGAAATGAAAAGAGTGATATCTTATGACTTGTTCCTCCAAATCGAAGATATCACAAACCTCACTCAAATGGAATTACTGCGCTGTTGAGCTTGGTGATGAGGGGCATTCTACTGGTTCTGATGCCTATTTGAAGAGGAATGTAGTAAGATGAGCTTTCCTTCACACTTGGCAAGACTGCAGGTCCTTACCACTGTCAAACATGTGAACATGTAAGTCAGCAGGGTGAAACCAGAGAGCTGGAAAATGCCCCCACTGCCCTTTCTCCCCTTAAGCCGAACAGTGCTGGAATTACTAGCAGGTGATATCTATGGATCAATCGCATGTAATCCCGCTCACATAAAGGCTATTATTTGCCACATTCAAAGGTCGCCTGTAACCAATCAAGCTCACACGGATTGTTTGGGATGTTTTTGTAACACCGTATTCGAACCTCACACG